TCATCATCTTCAGAATACGATTCGGATTTAACAGTAACGTCAGGATCATCAAATTCATCCTCCATTTCGAGTTTAATGTCATCTGGTGAATATTCTGGTGGTTCAATTTTAATTGCCTGATCATTCATAGACATAATTGTTTCCTCCGACATTTTCAAATATTTTCACACAAAAAATACAAAATACTTGTGTGCTAAATAATAGTCTAGTATTGTCTTAATTTTTTTTCAATATAATATATCAAATAAATGTTTTCATCTTAATTTTTATTACATTTACTGTTTGACATTTGAAGCATAGAGAGTATATTTTTAGAAAGATGAGACATTGGGTGCGTTCGACTTGGACGCTTACGCGCTGTGAGCGCTCACGCCATAGACCTTATACAATTTCATGGACTGCTAATCCCCATACATTTCTCAAGTAAAAAAGTGTCAAAAGATGTTCTATGGTATGAGGGCAAACGAGGGTAGTTTTGCGGCCGAGATATGTCAAACTCGATCACTTGAACGTCAAATGAAAGTCCTTGTGTTCGAAATTGTTTGGAAAATATTATATAATATACAATTTATGTTAAACTAATGAATGTAATGAATTATTTATGTATTTATTTATTTATTTTAGTTATACAAAGTGTTTAAGAAAAATAAAAAAAAAATTAAAAAAATATTTTACGTATTATAAAATTCACTGAAAATAAGAACAGTTGGCTAGAGCTATTATGGGAAATTAGAAAGCAATAATGAAATATTTGTTTAAATGCGATATATTTGTTATTGATGTTTAAAAAGCACAATTTTTGTGTGAAAGTGGCGTACATATTTATCAACTTTGCTTTTTTTATGTTCTTCATGGTGCATTCTAATTGTTAAATACATTTTTGCGACAAAGTTGATAAGGTCATGATAGTGCTGGACAAATTGCTGGAAATGGCTTTATCTAAAAAAATGTGCAAGTCCCAAGTCATTCAACTTTCGGAGAATCGTGCTTTCATATAAACTTTTGTACATTAAATTTAAAGAATTTCGAATTTGGGTTTCTATATATAAACATAATTTAAACATTGCATTGGAAGGATATGAAAGATATCCTCGATTTTTTATATCGATGAATGTCGAATTTCCCGGAATACTTGCGAAGCATTCAGAACAGGTTTTACTGCAATCAGGAACTTTACCACAGACCAAACACATTTTAGAAGACATTTTACTTTTAACAATTTTATAACAGGTATATTTTTATCCTCTTTTAGTTTAAAAACCCGAGCGATCAAACATCACGTGAACCCAAGTAACTGTAAAATTTAAGCGATCGAGTGCATTCGAATAATCTCGGTAAAGCTCGTGTTCGTATTTGACATATCTCGGCCGCAAAATTACCCTCGTATGCCCTCATACCATAGAACATCTTTTGACACTTTTTATGCGCTCAACTAGCAGTCCATGTATTGTATAAGGTCTATGGCTCACGCTTATTCGCTCAGAGCGTGACTGCAGCGCCCATGCAGCGCCGGAATAAATATGAACTAATTAAGGCTATCAGTGTGTGGTTTTTATGGGTTTTATATCTCTGTTAAAGAAAAATGATATCAAATAATTGTTATAAATAATAATAAACATTATACAATAATAATGTGAACGCTCAATGTTTATTGAAATTATTAAATTTACTTCAACGCACTTAAAACATAGTTAAGTGTAATGATTAATTTAATAAAGAAATGCAGTAAACATTTTCAAGGATAAGTGCCTTAAAGCTTATGTCATGAGCTCGGAATAGTTCTTGATAAAAACAATATAATGATGATAAAAATATTTTATCAATAGAATAAGTAAATAATAAATTAATTTACTCATTTTTTTATTATTTTTGGTCAAACTAAAGACTTAGACGTTATTATAAAGACATGATTTAGGCATTATTATAAAGACAAGACCCGTCAAATAAAATTGCAGGAAAAAAACGACTTTAACTTTTCGAGTCTTGTAAATTGAAGGAAATATTGTTGACAAGTAGGTTGGTCTCAATACCTCGTCCGATTTACTGCAAATGCGATCATAGGGCTTGGGAAGCCACGGTGATCCATCAACACTACAAATATATATTTTGTTTTATTTCAGCATTGTATTAATTAAACTGATTGTAAAATAAACATTTTATGCTATGTGATAACTTTTATTTTTCTTTTAATCATAAAATTACATTTATTATATAATAACATGTAATTAATAGATAGATAATAGTGTAATAGTTCAATATACAATATATAAATATATATTTATCATTATTTCAGCCTTGTATTAATTACATTGTTTGCAAAACAATTTTTTCTAGTAAATTAAATTTTTATAAAATAACAATTTATTGACTTATAATTTTTCTTTCTGCTAAACATAACAATTTTACAAATATTCATAGTACTCCGAGTTGAATTTTTATAACAGTAAGGTTATGATACTTACTTTATTCTTCTAACCGCGATCCACTTTTCCCGTTGATTTTCTTTCCACTTAGCTGTAGGAAATGTATAGAATTTGCAGTCACTTTTTCTGCTCTTATTTCTACAACCCACTACAACAGCTTTGGTGGCTCATTTTTAATTATCTTATTTAAATTTGAAATAAACAAATATTGTATGTGTTTTTGTTTAAAATTTCTGTCATAATAGCCTACTTTAATGCTCAAAGTAGCCACAACGAACGCTTCGGTTGATTTGACTTCTCCTTCCATGCCTTCGCACATAGCCTATAAGCATTTTTTAGAGTTCGACTTGGCCGATAAGCGCTCAGATTCGATAACTAAATTACGTTCGTTTTGGAAACTGTGAGCGTCAATAAGCATCAAAATGGCGGCAACTGGCGGCAACGGTAATTGTGTAAATTTTATTACTTTCTAGATCATTCAGCGGGATTATAAACAATTTAACAATTAATAAATAAATGAAATTTGGTTTGCTTATGCTTAATTCATATTAATATTAAAATTAAAATTTAAAATTATTTAAAATTAATTAAATTTAAAATTAATTAATATTAATATTAATATTAAAAAATAATTGTAATGCATAGCTCGCCATTTTTGCGTACTTATTGAACTAAGAATGAATGAAATTAGGATTAGATTATGCATTCCATGCCATAGATAATTAAGCATAAATAGATCGCTATCTCGGGCCGTTTGACGTTACACTCATTTTAATTTACGAATAGATCACTACGTGGCTGCACATGTACATACTGTATGTAAATTAACCCCTGGTATTACTTCTACATTTGTACATAAAATCAATACAGCTCAAAAATCTGAAAAAAAAATATTATTTGAAATAAGAACAAAACATACGAAATACAAAATATATTTTCAAATATATCACAGACATTTTTGAAGAATTATAAACTAACAGAATAACTGACTACTATTAATTAAAGTATATTACAGACATATTTTTAAAGTACTTATTCTATTAATATTCTAGAATAACTTATTCATATTAATTACTTAATGACTAATAATAATATTTAAAAACTTAAAAACTAAGAAGTAAAAAGCGCAGGAGTATTGATGATTTAATGACAAATTTAGAAGGATGACAGTATGCAATAATTTAAAGGGTAAAAAGAACAGCACATTTTTAAAAAAAAGAATGAATACTTTCCAAACAAATAATCCTAAAAACAAATTATTATATATTGATATCCAAATTGAGATAAAACTAAATTCCTAGGAGTAAAATTCATTTACGAGACATTCTTGTTTATTATCTCTCCATTTAATAGTTATTTTTATTACTATCTAATCAATCATTAATAAAGTTATATTTGACGAAATCTTTAAATAGTTTCTGTCTAAGTGTTTTTAAACGTAAGTAACCAAAACCCTGAACTACTTTTAATTTATACCAATTGTAACTCAAACCTATCTATCGTTTTAATCCAGTTTTTATTGCAAGGAGGTTTAGTTAAAATTGTAATTAAACCCTTGCGCTTTCAATATCAAAATTGAAAGACAATATCAAAATTCTTGCCCTTACATTTTAAGTTTCCGTTGTCAAAAATCTTTTTCGAGGTTTTTAGGCTTTCATCTCCTAACTAAGAACATAAGATTCATTTATTAATAGTTTTTTTTTGCAAATAGTATTGAAGTATTTAGAGTTTTAATTACTTGTCCTTGTCCTTGGAGTTGCAGAATGTTCTTCTGGATCTGTATGAGAGCATTCTCCAGTGACTTGAAAACTATTCTGTTATTGCCATAAAGGAAACACTTCTAATTGATTTCGATTTCAAATTATCTTTGTCTTGTGCCACAAACCGAAGAGTTAGGTCATCCATTAAAGGATTATTCGCCCTCTGCATCCAAATTGAAAGCATCTTTTTACAAATTTTTGCACACATATATATATATATATATATATATATATATATAAATATAACATTTTAATAGTATTTTCATTATACATATTCATTATGTGCATAATACATCATTATATACATACCTGATAATTAGATGCCGGAAAGATATGCATTTTTTATTATATTTGGAGTTATAACAATTTGGCATATTACACTTTACCATTTTAACTTAATGATAAATGAAAAAAGTATTCACCAAAATATAATTATATATAAACAATCACAGAAAAACAAATATAACACATCTCACCTACAATACGCGATGACAACTTATAGAAAATGGCCGATCAAATCAATGTAGATCAAGCTAGCTGTTAGATCAATGAAATTGGAAATCGTAGCGCCATCCTTCGATCAATTCGAATACCAATCCATTTCAAAACACGGTAATCTACATTTGTTCGGAGATTACCGGCCATGGTTTCTACTCTCTCTACTGCTACAAACAAACTCTATGCTTCAAATGTCAAATAATAAAAGTAAATTTAGTTAAATTAATTGATCATATTGAAAGTAATTATTGATAACATTATTTAGCACACAACTATTTTGTAATTTTTTTGTGAGTATAAACAGTGAAAATATTTAAAAATGTCGAAGGAAACAATTATGTCTATGAATGATCGGGCAGTTAAAATTGAACTACCAGAATATTCACCAGAAGACATTAAACTCGAAATGAAGGATGAATTTGATAATACCGACGTTATTGTTAAATCTGAATCGTGTTCTAAAGATGATGATACGTGTTTGGAAAGATTTATGAATTCCGAGGTGACAATTGAAGAAGAAATCAAACAGGAGGTAGTCGAGTTATCAATTTATGAATGTGACATTTGCAATAGATCATTTGCAGAATCAGACCATTTAAAAAAGCATATGGTCGATCATATTCCTAGTAATAGCAAAGAATGTCCTTTCAAATGCGAAATCTGTTACAAGGCTTTTAATCGATTAAGTGTTCTGAAAGTGCACATGCTCATTCACAGTGGTGAGCGCGCCCATGAATGCAATATATGCAACAAGAAATTTACACAATTAGGTCATTTGAAAAGTCACATGCTGATACACAGTGGAGTACGTCCTCATGAATGCAATATATGCAATAAGACATTCAGGCAATTATGTAATCTAAAAACTCACATGTTTATTCACAGTGGTGAGCGACCTCATCGATGCAATATATGCAAAAAGACATTCATGCGAACAGGTGATCTAACAAAACACCTGCTCATTCATAATGGAGTACGCCCACATGCATGCAATATATGCAATAAGACATTCAGGCAATTATGTAATCTGAAAAGTCACATGCTTATTCACAGTGGTAATCAACCCCATCAATGCAATATATGCAAAAAGACATTCACAGAAAGAGGTCATCTGAAACGTCACATACTGATTCACAATGGAGTACGCCCTCATGAGTGCAACATATGCAAAAAGAAATTTACACAATCAGGTCATCTGAAAAGTCACATGCTGATACATAGTGGAGTACGTTCCCATGAATGCAATATATGCAATAAGACTTTTACAGAAAGAGGTAGTCTGAAACGTCACATGCTAATACACAGTGGAGTACGTCCCCATGAATGCAATATATGCAAAAAGACATTCACAGTAAGAAGTCATATGAAAAGACACATGGCACTTCATAGTCAGAAGCGTGGTGAAGATCAATGAAACATAAGTATATTTGTTCACTTAAATTTAAATATTGTAAAAATTTTTGCGTCTAATGGAATGTATAAATAGTATGAAATATACAGAACACAATACATAATATCAATATTATTTCAAAATTTTTTATTCAAATTTTAATTTTTATCAATTAAGTATTATTAATGTGGATTAGTAACCATTGGTTTCAGGTTCAAATACAAATTGGTCAGGAGTAGCTTTAACTTTCTAAGTCCGTATTTAGTTTTAAACAGAAGTTCAAAAGTTTTTATTATGAATTTTAAAAAATGTCTTTACACATGGCGATATATACCAGAAATATGCCACATTAACTTTAATATATTTTTTTTATTATTTTTTTTTGTTTTAATTACATTATATATTACAACTGTTAAATAGTTAACATCTAGCAATATTGATAAATAATAACATAAATTTAAATAAATAAGAGTGCAAAGGATAGAATTTACATGAAAATAATATCCGTAGTATGATGATTTAATATAAAATAAAAGCAAATAATAATAAAAATAAAATTAATAAATAATATAAATAAAATTTCTGAATAATAAAATATTAGAAAAAACAATAAAATATAACAAAATAACAATAATAGAAATAGTAAGATAATAATAATAATATTAATGTTAGCGTTTATAAATGGCTGTTTATGAGATCATTGGGAATTTTTCGTTTTAGCCTGGTTGGGCGCGCTTCTGAGAATACTTTTTGTGCCAAGTAATTTGGGTGTTCGTCCATTCTTCTTTTACAGTTGTCTGTTTTTTTTTGTTGAATTACTTCATTTACTGTCATCATATTGCTGTCCTGGTGAATCAACCAGTTGAGAACGTACCTGGGTGCGTTCAGTGCCTGCCGTATTATCTTGTTCTGCACTCGCTGAATGATCTGTATATTAGTTTTATCGGTGGTGCCCCATAGTTGAATCCCATAAGACCACACTGGTTTAAAAATACTTTCATAAATAATTAGTTTGTTGTTTGTCGACAGTTCGGACCAGTAATGTTTTTTAAATAATTCATCAATCTGCTGTTTTTTCTTGCTAATGTGAACTCCTAGTTCAATTTCTAGTTCAATTTATTCCGAGATATTTTACGCTATCTTTTACTGGGATTTCCTGTCCATTTAATAGTAGGTCATATACCAGTTAATTGTAGGTCATATACCAGTACGCAGCGTGAAAGTGATATGCGTAGATTTTGCGTGGTTTGTCATAATTCTCCATAAAGAAACCCATTATGTAGCAATATCTAGATGCTTTTGTAATAGTTGCGAAGCTATTGCGGAATCTTCATTGGAGGCAATGATACAAGTATCGTCAGCAAATGTCGGCACGCTTGTTCCGGAAACTCCGCTGTGAATATAAGAAATAGAGTTGGAGAAAAGACGCTTCCCTGGGGCACCCCAGAGAGGATCTTTTTTTTGGTCGACTCCTCGTTGTTAATGCTGACGAAAAATTCCCTATTTTCAAGGTACAATTTTATTATTGAAAATATCGGTTCTGATAAACAGAGTTTTAGTTTGTACAACAAACCAGTGTGCCATACCTTGTCAAATGCTTGCGCAACGTCTAAAAATACAGCCGAACAATATTTTTTTTGCATGGAACGATTCGTTTATTATATTTACTAGGCGATGAACCTGTTCTATGGTTGAGTGTTGTTCTCTAAAGCCGAATTGGTGATTTGGAATTACGTTCTGATTCAACAATTCTGACTTAATGCGTTATAGTAATAATTTTTCAAATATCTTCGAAATACAAGGAAGTAGGCTTATTGGTCTATATAGGAAGACAGTAAATGAGGGTCTTTCCCAGGTTTAGGTATAAGAATTATTTTAGCTACTTTCCAAGCTTGAGGGAACACTTTTAATCTTAAAATTGAATTGAAAATTATTGTTAATAATCTAAATCCCTTTTCTGGCAGTTTTTTTTATCATTTTTATCGAAATTTTATCTGGCCCAGGAGATTTATTATAATAAATCTATAGGATTTGCATCCTTGACATATTTTTTTAATTCGGTCACCGTTATGTGTTTTACAATTTGGCCTGGTATAGATTCATTTTGTAAACAATTGTGGATAAAATCTTCATTGTTTACGTTGCAACTGCGGGGATGAGGCTGGAATGTATTTTTCAATTGTTCTTAATATTCTTCCAATTTTTCTTCTGAACTTCTTGCCCAAGAACAATCAAGTACACGCACTGGCGGTATATGCACTAGAGATGGGTAACTCACTCCGGAGTTATCACTCCGATACAACTTCTCCTTCGGAGTGAATCCGGGTGGAGTTATTTCACAGGATTTGTCATATTCGACTTTCCTAAACTGGTATTAAATCTGTTAATTTGTGCAGACATTTACTGTTTTTGGCGTTTTTGCTTTGGGAAGAAAGCGGTCGCTTTCTCGTCTCCCAGGCAGTTTTATGACCTTTTAGGTATAAAAATCAAAACACTACCATTGTGTATTTTGCAGAAAATACAAAAATATTACTTCAAAGACACAGAACAATGAAATTGTGTTCAAGTGTGAATAGCTCAAATGTTTAATTTATTGAATAGTAAGGGCTAATCTTTCTAACTACGACAATCTTTGGCCCTGAATGACGACAATCAGGAATATACATACCGAAAAATATACGGTTTTGCCATAGTCTGAAATAACAATATTTATCAGTGATATCAATAGTATTTAAGCAGCAAAAAATATTTAGTATTATATTATTACTTTTACACAATATTAATTCTCGAATGGAAATAGCAGAAGAAAAATTTAGAAAGCAGAAGTATTATGTTTTGCTTTTATTACAAAGTGTACTACTTAAGTTTTATATAAAATTAATCAAAAAAAAATTATTTTCTCATCAAAAGGAAATAATTAAATGGAATTTGATTCTCAAGTTTTGCGATTTTACTTTGGTCAACACTGCTAAAATTACGAGTCATTGAGTCGATCATCTGGTCGACCGAAAAATTTTACAACCCGTCATTTATTTGTGAATTTTTTAGAAAAATTGTTTTATTGATATTTATTCATAACTTTTTTTATCGCCTGATGCCCAGTGGACTTTTTATAGCAAAAAATTACCAGCTAATTGTTAGTAGGACTACGTCTTCGACATTAGTTGCATCTCCACGATAGCAATAGTTTTTTTCAATATTTTGCAAGTTACCAAGCAATCAAATGATAAACTTTTGTGTTAGTGTGTATATTCTGTGTGTAACAAAATCAGTGATTGCAAGTGATTAGAGAAATGGCAATGAGACGTAAAACCAGTACTATCTGGAATCATTTTTCCTCAAAGATAATAAAGCAAAATGCAATTAATGTGCGGATTTTTTAAGTATTTTATTTTCAAATACTGGAAATTTAATAAGGCATTTGAACTATACCGATTTATCCGGCAATGCGCCGCGAGACTGTATTATTGGATAATATTTTTGCGTTAAAAACTTCAGAAGCTGGTACATCAGATTCAAATCCATCTAATACAATGAAAAATAATTCTAATGTTATCAGAAATTATTTGCAAAATACTAATCCTTTACCCATGTGCCAAATTGCTGAAATAAATGCACAATTGATCAAGATGATTGCAAAAGAATATCATTTAATGCAAATCATTGAAGGGATTGAATTTAGAATGCTATTGAAGTTGTTAAATCCAAGATATAATGTACCGAAATGCTTAAAATTGTGACTTTTTATAACAATATCAACAAATATGTTTGAACTGTTTATAAAAAATTTCAAATAATTAATAGGATTCGACAAATCCTTAGATACATAAACAACGGACTATAGAACACATTTGTGTCGAGTACTTCGGTTTGAAAGTTGTCGGAGTCGTGGAGTTGTTAAGCGGATATAACTCCTCCATGAAGCGGAGTCAAATCCGAGTCGATCCGGCTTCGGTTATGATAAGCCCATCTCTAATATGTACTATCGGCCTTTTTAATCTCTTCGTTGCCTTCCAAAGAGAATAATTTGTGTCTTTAGTAGATGAAAGATTAGTTAAGTAATTTTCAATGAATTGGTTCTTATATTCATATAATAGAGTTTTACGATTTCTGCAGGCACTGTTAAATTTGTTTTTATTGGCCGGTGATCTTGTGGTTTGCCATGCTTTTTGTAATTTGCGTTTTTGAGTTATGATTTTTTTAATGTTAATAGGATAATTAGGTTTGCAACTTGCATTTGAAAGTATAGTTAATTTTTGAGCTACTGATGATAATAGCGTTGTAAAATTAGTTATCGCCAAGTTTAAATCAGTTCATTTTTCAAAGGTATGTTGCAAGAATTTTTTTCATCAATTATCTCTTAGAATAATGGCCAATTAGTAAATTTATTTGTGAGAAGATATGAGTTTTGATTTACTTCTGTAGTTGTAGAATATTGCAGAATAATTGGCGAATGATCTGAATTTAAATCTAAATTTGATTTGATATCTGTTAACTAATTGACCATTCGGTTCGAATGGATCAAAAAGTATGTTGTTAAGAGATAGATTGCAAAAATGTATAAGAAGTCCGTGATCCACCAAGATGCTGCCGAACTCTATTAAAACACTTGCACTTTATTTATATTGTCGACTTGCCTCTAGGCTAAATACCAATACCAACTAGTTTCAATCGATTTGTAAAGTTCTCGACCCCTAGGGGTGATCAGTCTAGAACCCCAGAATGTGTGCTTTGCATTATAATCTCCTCCCGCTATAAATGAACTTCCCAGCGTATTAAAAAAAATTGTAAACTCACTTTTGGTGATCCTGTGTTTAGGCGGACAGTAAATGGCTGATAGTACTTGCTGGTTATGCGATGGTATATTAACTGAAATTGATGTTGCTTGAAGAAAGTCCTTCTGGAGTATTATAAACTATATAATTTGGTATACGTACGGAACTATTGTTAGTGAAATGTGATTACGATATAAGCATTATATCTATATTGTTGATTGTTAAAAAATATTTAAGATCTTGAGTGTGGTTACACAAGCCATTTGCATTCTATAAACAGATTGTTCGTTTGAAATACATGATTTATTTGCTAGAATAGTTGTGAGTAAATTAATCATGCTCATTTGTTCAGTAAGTGTTTTTATCATTTTCTTCAATTCTGACAGATCATTGATATTATTAATGTTTGTCGAGCTCTGATTGATCGAATGTCCTGGTTTTCAGGCAGTACAGTATTTTAACGTGTTACATATGAGTATGAGATACCTGGTTTAACATTTGAGGTTGATCTATGAATTGGTGATGTTCTCTGTCTTTTTTAAAATATAAACGCATTTTTTTGTCAGAGAAAATGTTTTAGAAAATTTATTCAGCTATAACTTTGTCAAAGACTATATTTAGTTATAATAAGCAATTTAAAAGTTATTAGTAAAAACACGAAACAATGTCTTTGTTCCACAAAATGGACGACACGTTTTCAACATTATGCAAGTTTAAAATTATTTTAAAAATATAAGCAAAAGAATTTTACATAATTTTTGTCTGAGAAAATGTTTTAGTGAATTTATTCAGCAATACCTTTGTCAAAGACTAGAGTTGATTATGCAAAGTAATTTAACAGTTATCAATAAAATTCAAAACAATGTCATTGTACAACAAAATGGCTGACACGTTATCAACATTGTGGAAGTTTAAAAATATAAGCACAAACTTTACATCATTTCTGTCTCGGAAAATGCTTTATAGAATTTATTCAGCTACTTTTTTCTACATTAATCAAAATACAGAAAAATATCTTTGTATCACAAAATTGCCGACACGTTTTCAACATTATGCAAGTTTAGAAATATTTTAAAAATACAAGCAGGAATAGCAGTCAACTATAGCTTTATCAAAAACTGTTTTTAGTTACAATAAATAATTTGAAAGTTATTAATAAAAAACACAAAACAGTGTCTTTGTAAAACAAAATGGCCGAAAAGTTTTCAACTTACATAAGTTTTAAAACATTTTGTGCAGTTATTTTCATAGTATCTCGCAATTACGAGAAGTAGACTTGAAATACTTTTATCTTTTATTTTCAACTGTGCTTAAATTCGGCGGTGTTTCTAGTGTTAATAAGTTTGTTAATGACTACAGAATACTGTAACGTAATTACGTTATGTTTTTTTTTTATTTTTAACCCTAATAATTGGGTTTGAATTGACTACCATTTCGTAAGAAAGTACACGATTTTCTCACTTATTTGCATTATTCCAATATAACTAGAATCATAGATAAAAGAAGACTAGAATATCGCAGTAATGAGTTAATCATTGGATTCAACCTTTTCATCTATGATCAATTATTTTTATTATATAAATTGAATAATAATACAGGTAAAACCAGTATAACGCACGCATATTCTGGTGGTTCAATTTTAATTGCCTGATCATTCATAGACATAATTGTTTCCTTCGACATTTTCAAATATTTTCATAAAAAATACAAAATAGTTGTGTGCTAAATAATAGTCTAGTGGCTATGTGCGAAGGCATGGAAGGGGAAGTCAAATCGACCGAAGCGTTCGTAGTGGCTAACTTGGAGCACTAAAAGGGGCTATTATAAACAAAATTTTAAACAAAAACACATAAAATATTTATTTATTTCAAATTTAAATAAGATAATTAAAAATGAGCCACCATAGCTGTTCTGTAGTGGGCTGTAGAAATACCAGCAGAAAAAGTGACTGCAAATTCTATACATTTTCTACAGCTAAGTGGAAAGAAAATCAACGGGAAAAGTGGATCGCAGCGGTTAGAAGAATAAAGTAATTATCATGAAAAAATGTTTATTTTGCAAACAGTTTAATTAATACAATGCTGAAATAATGCGAAATATATATTTGTAGTGTTGATGGATCACCGTGGGTTCCCAAGCATTTGCAGTGAGTCGGTCGAGGTATTGAGTCTTACCTACTTGTCAACAATATTTTCTTCAATAAGTTAATTTCGAAAAGTTAATGTAGTTTTTTTCCTGCAATTTTATTTGATGGGTCTTGTCTTTATAATAATGTCTAAATTATGTCTTTATAATAATGTCTAAGTCTTTAGTTTGACCAAAAAATTGAATAAATTAATTTACTATTTACTTATTCTATTGATAAAATATTATTTATCATTATTATCATATTATTATATTGTTTTTATTAAGAACTATTCCGAGTTTATGACATAAGCTTTGAGGCACTTAACCTTACAAATATTTACTGCATTTCTTTATTTAATTAATCATTATACTTAACAATGTTTTAAGTACGTTGAAGTAAATTTAATAATTTCAATAAACATTCAGCGTTCACATTATTACTGTATCTTGTTTATTATTATTTATAACAATTATTTAATATCTTTTTTCTTTAACAAACATGTAAAACCCATGAAAACCACACACTGATAACCCCAATTAGTTCATATTTATTACGGCGCTGCAGTCACGCTCGGAGCGAATAATTTTATTTCAACTTAATTTTACTCTTTGACATTTGAAGCATAGAGAGTATATTTCTAGAAAGATGAAACATTTATCGTGGCGCGTCTTTTCAAATTCAATATGGTTCTCTATGTTTCTACTCTCTCTACTGCTACAAACAAACTCTATGCTTCAAATGCCAAATAAGCAATGTTATTTAGTTAAAATAATTGATCAAATTGAAAATAATTATTGATTAAACGAGACTATTATTTAGCACACAACTATTTTCGTTAATTTTTTCTGAGTATAAGCAGTGGAAATATAAACATGTCGGAGGAAACAATTATGTCTATGAATGATCAGGCAATTAAAATTGAACCGCCAGAATATTCACCAGCAGACAATAAACTCGAAATAGAGAATGATTTTGATGATCCCGACGTTATAGTTAAATCTGAATCGTGTTCTGAAGATGATGATACGTGTTTAGAAAGATTTATGAATTCCGAAGTGACAATTGAAGAAGAAGTCAAACATGAGTTAGTCGAGACATTAACTTATGAATGTGACGTTTGCAATAGATCATTTGCAGAATCAGATCATTTAAAAGAGCATATGGCTCATCATATTCCTAATAATAGCAAAGAAAATCCTTTCAAATGCGAAATCTGTCACAAGGCTTTTGATCGATTAAGTGCTCTGAAAAGGCACATGCTCATTCACAGTGGTGAGCGCGCTCATGAATGCAATATATGCAACAAGAAATTTACACAATTAAGTCATTTGAAAAGTCACATGCTGATACACAGTGGAGTACGTCCTCATGAATGCAATATATGCAATAAGACATTCAAAGAATCAGGTAGTCTAAAAAGACACATGGCCATTCACAATGGAATACGCTCTCATGAATGCAATATATGCAAAAAGACATTCAAGAGATCATCAATTCTGAAATGTCACATGCTGATACACAGTGGAGTACGTCCCCATGAATGCAATGTATGCAAAAAGACATTCAGAGATTTAAGTAATCTGAGAAATCATATGCTGATCCACAGTGGAGTACGCTCTCATGAATGCAATATATGCAACAAGACATTCACAAGATCAAGTAATCTGAAAAGTCACATGCTGATACACAGTGGAGTACGTCCCCATGAATGCACTATATGCAAAAAGAAATTTACACAATCAAGTAATCTGAAAAGTCACATGCTGATACACAGTGGAGTACGTCCCCATGAATGCAATAGATGCAAAAAGACATTCACACAATTATGTAATCTGAAAACTCATATGCTCATTCATAAACAAGAGCGTCTTTATGAATGTGAAGTATGTAATAAGAAATTTACTCAATCAAAAAATTTGAAGGGACACATGGCACTTCATAGTCAGAATCGTGGTGAAGATCAATGAAATATAAACATATTTGTTTACTTGAATATAAATATTTGGAAACATGTTATAAAATATTCTTGCATGTAATGGAATTAAAAATAGTATGAAATATACAGTACACATTAAATAATATCGCATTATTTCCATGGAACCATTGGTTCCAGGTTCAAATACAAATAGACTTCTCTAAGACTATTTAATTTTGAACAGAAGTTCAGAAGATATTAATATGAATTTTAAAAAATGTCTTTACGCAAGGCAGTATATACTCCTTCATGATCAAGTAGTCTTTTAAGCATTATGTAACTGGGAAAGTATTTTATAAATACTAGCACTGATTTTTCATTTTATGTATTTTAATAAACATAATTAATAATTAATCCAGCTACATTTTCATCTATTCATCAGAATTGTCATTGTCCATTAATACCAACCGACATAATCGGGAGCATAATATTTGGCATTGTGAGTGAATGGTTTTCACTCAGTTTATGTTGAAACATTTCAATTTGCCATTGAAATAGTGCATATATTTATTAATTATTGCATTGAAAAGTATGAAAAAGTGATTAGGAAGGCCTTCAAACAATACCAAAACAATTAATATAGTGAATGTTGTGTTTTTATGCCAAATTAGTCAATATAATCCTTATTATAATATAGGGTCCGTTTGTTTTCCAGTGTTTCACACTTTTTATAGTTATTCTGTGAATAATTAAATTAGTAATGAATATGATTTTGATTCTGAATATGAAATGATTCTGATTTTTTTTTTTATTAAAGTTTGCTTAATTAAAATAATATATTACATTTTTTTGTACATACTTGTACCTGATTCATAAAGAGTGTTACAAGCTTTTTTTTGTTAAATGCGAAGCAATAATGAGATACAACTTTTCAAAGTTTCAACAAGCAAGTATAACTATTAACTGCTGTTATCGCATAAACAATTTTCATTCTGGGCGAATTACATACATTCTTTGAGAATTTTATTATTTTGGATTTTATTTAAAAAAATATTTTGGGCTTGGTAAGTAATGAAAAATTTAATTAGATTGCATTCTATGTAATATTATAGTAATAAGTCTAAGGTTATAGGTGGCCTTAACCATACTGAAAGCACAATTTCTATAAGTATCATAAAGTATTAAGAAAATTAATTTATATTTCTTTGATAAACAAATGCCCATGAAATATAAATTCAATAGCCACCAAAGATTTTTCTAAATGAAATTGCACAAAATAATGTTTGCATAATTTTGTTAAGAGGTTTGACTTAAGCAACTTTACCCTGTACCGAGGATTTATTTGTCCATTTTTGTTAATCTTTTACTGGCAAATCAGTGTTCTATATTGCTTAATAAATTTTATTATACTAATTCTAATGCTAGTGCTAATTCATTTTGATTTATATAACAAGAGAACCTTGGATTGTAGTAAGGTGGAGTGCACACTGACCACACAATCATAATTTTAAAGCAAATTTTATCTTGGATCTATTCCTTTTTTACTCGAGGGGAGAGTAAATAGCTTATTCATTTTAAATGAATACATTCATAGAGGAACAATTAAATGAATATATTCATCTATATATAGAGGAGCAATTAAAAGACTATTTTTTATGGATTCAAAATAGTGCAGGAAAGCTTTAGTGAGTGTAGCTATATTTATAATTATATATCTACAATTTTGTTTATCTTAATTCAATGCAAACCTCTGTATTTTACAGGTTCAGAATTAAATTCTTCTTTAACATCTTGGATTTTTTGCAATTGAAATCAGTCGAAGCCTTTGACAAATATATAGATATACTATTTATGGGATGAAGTTTGTGAGTCAGTGCTCCTAGTGAACGCATCCATCAAACAGTATTTGTCTAATTCAGTTCAGGCAATTTGCCTCAAGGTATGTTAATTAGTTTTGCATGACAATCGGCCAAGCCAATTGTGCAAAAAAATATATTATCAGATTTAGAGTTCATAATATATTCATAAAATTTAGAATATTTTTTACACGCAGTTTGAGATATTTATACACACAGTTTATGATCTGTAGTAACATTAAATTGTCGGCTTGTGCTCAATTATGTTAGCTGATACATTTATCATTTGAAATTTTTTAGTTTTAATATTGATTTGTAATATATGTGAATTGCAAGCAGTACTCTCTTGTTTACTAATATAGAAAAGCAAGAATATTGTCACAATATTGTTCTGATAATTTATTTATTATCTATAATAGCGAATAAACAGAAGCATTTGTAATATTTTTGTACTGTTTGAAACTCATGTTGTGCATAAAAAAATGCTAAGTGGCTGTATAATTTTTTACAACATAATGTGTAAAAGATAAAATGTTGGAATATCAACTCTTTTGAAATGTAGTTTCAATCTACTTGTCTGACAAGAAACTTATTAATACAATTTGTGTTATTGGGGCGGTTCTGAAATAACAGCTATCAATGTATACAAGAGAGGTCAAAAAGTAACTATAATATCGATTTACATCGAGATTTATACTTATGGCTGGAGACTTTAACGCACAACATACATCTTGGAATTGTAACTTTAACAACGCGAACGGAAACAGACTTTACGAATACCTGACCGAATACAACACCACAGATGCACAACTACATTATCCTGACACGCCGACCAGATACGCCACCGTACAGACACACCATTACAGCACGATCGATTTGGCATTGACAAAAAATCTACACGTAACATCTGAACCCATAACGAGAACACTTTTTAACTCCGACCATAATCCAGTTTTCATGACCATTTCAGACAGACTAGACGTTGACCAGACTCCAAAACGCAAATTTTTAGATTACTCTAGAGCCAAGTAGCCATTTTTCAGAGACATCATCACAGACAACACACGACAAACAATGCCAATCGATACCAACCCTGACATTGAGGAGGCTGTAACACACCTTACACTATAATCACAGACTCTGTACAACAGACTATACCGGCACTAGACTCAAGAACAACACCAGCTAACGACTTGCCAGAACATATTTTATTGGAAATAAAACTTAAAAATCATACAAAGAAACTGTGGCAACATACCGGTGACAGACATACTCAAGGAATATGTTAACAGAATGACAAACATTATTTCCAATGAAATACGTGACCACTGAAACAACACTTGGACCAAAAGACTCGAGAACATAAATACTGACCCACACAAAATTTGGCAAACAGCAAAAAGACTGACGCGGAAACCAACATCCATACCTCCAATTAAATTAACTGACAACAATTACGCAACAACTCCAGCGGACAAGGCGGAAATATTGGCAAAAAACTTTGAGAACATACATAAACAAAATGCCAATATGTCAAACGCAGACCTTAAACAAGACGTACACGAGACAATTCAAGACTTCACTGACCTCCACAGGGACAAAGACTTACGAATAGACCCTGTTACAGTTTCCGAAATAAAGACAATAGTTAAAAAATTACCGAACAGAAAAGCACCAGGACTGGACGGACTGCAAAACATAATACTTAAACAACTGCCGACGAACGCCTACATTTTACTTACACGCATTAAAAATAGATTAATGACAAAAGGCTGCTTTCCTGCTTCTTAGAAAACCTCCACCATATTACCAATAGTGAAGCCAAGGAAACAGCCAGACATACCACATAACTACAGACCGATCAACACAATGAGTAAGGTAGCCGAAAAAGTACTACTCAAAAGATTTAACAAACACATAAGACACAACAAGATCATACCTAACACACAATATGGCTTCAAAGAACGACACTCCACACTACACCCACTGACAAAACTCATAGAAAATACAGTTCTCAATTTTAACAGACGAAACCATACCGGATTGGTGTTACTCGACTTTGAGAAGGCGTTTGACACCATCTGGATGAACGGACTTATACATAAACTTTTCACCATACATTACAAAAACATTACACTCATACCTCTCATACCGCAACTTCACTATACAAGTAGACAACGGACTTTCGACGGTTAAACAAGTGACGGCGGGAGTACCGCAGGGCTTGATCCTGGGATCGTCACTGTTTAACGTCTACATTCACGACATACCCACTGACGCCGACACTGTTACTGCCATTTGCTGACGACACTGCCATATACAACTCATCACGATCACCGACGCTACTGACTACTAAGATACAGACACACATAGACAAGCTAACAGAATATACTGACAAATGGCATATCAGGATCAATCCGCAAAAGACGGAGGCAATTTTATTTACAAAGAGCCGAAATGCCACGACCAGACTGACTGACTTGGACAAAATTAAAGTATTGGACTGTGAAGTTGAGTGGTCCAAGGATGTCAAATACCTTGGTGTGACCCTGGACCATAGACTCAGCTTCACTAAACATGTTAATACGAAAATTGGACAGACTGACGGGATGTTAAATCTACTGAGACCTCTTTTGAACCACAACAGCCCGCTAAGCGTGAAGAACAAGCGGACTCTTTACTTGATACTTATAAGACCATTACTGACATAGCCGCTCCAGCAAAGAACGCGACGACTAAGACTAACTTACGGAAACTACAGACATTACAAAATAAGACAAAACGACTAGTACTTTACAAAATAAGGGACCCACTGACTAGACATTACTATTCTTCATAATACATACACAAACAGACTGACGTACCGACAATACTCGACTATATAAAAAAGCTCACTGAAAATTTTTATCTAAAATGTGGGATCATCCTAATACTAACATCGCGGGCCTCGGCCAATACACTATAGACGTGATTTGGTATGGAAATCACGCCATGCCAAACTATATACTGATCGACCCATGGCGGCAAATGATACTTGGATGAGAATAAATCTTTTATTTTGTTATTCTTTTTAACTTCCCGCAGGGTAAGTTATTGTATCGTAATCGTAAAAATCGAAATCGAAAATTTTTACATTTCTCGACGTTTTGAAGGTTTTTGAGCATTTTGGCATACTTCAGAAAAAATGGATTTGTGTGTGTGTGTGTGGGTATGTATGTATGTATGGATACAATTTTTCGTTCACGTTTTCGGGCGCACGGATCAACCGATTTGAATGGTTCAAAAGACATTCGATTCCTATCGATAGGGAGATGTGCTGATTAGTTTTTGGCAAAGGCAGGTCCAGCAGTTACGGAGATAAGGAGCAAAGAGTGCAGAAAATAAAAATTGAGTTTTTGAGAGAAAGGAGCATCCGATTTGAATGATCCAAAGAACATTCAATTTGTAATGACGGGGAGAAGTGGTGATTAGTCTATGGCAAAGGCAGGGCCAGCGGTTTCGGAAATACAGAGCTAAATGTGCAAAAAATGATAGTTTTTGAGGGAACTAAGCGTCTGATTTGAATGATTCAAAAAACTTTCTGCTTGTTTTAACAAAATAATTAATTTTGGAAAAAAAAATATCTCAATTTTTTTTTTTTTCAAAAAATTTTTTTTCAATTTTTTTTTTTTAATTTTTTTTTTGTATATCGAAAATAATTCTGATTTCTATTTTAATTCTGTTCTAATATACCTTAAACAAATAATTTCAACTTTCCAATTCAGTTTATGTAATTTTCATAAATATTAGACAATGTTACAATATTTATAATAATCTATTTGAAAACATTCAATATTTCTCGATCATCTCGTTACGGTACGGGAAGTTCCAGCAATTTGCCTCAAGGAACGATGCCTTAATTGCCTTAAGACAGAATTCCACTTACAGCTAGTTATTTGTATAATTAACTATTATTAAAAATATTGTTTTGTGTGTTTTTTTTGGGAGAAAAAGTTTTCTTTCCTCTTTTTTGCCACACGATTTGTCACACATCTCGCTGTATTCACAATATTCGCGGTATATATTAAGATGTTATATAAAGTACTCAAGTGTAGAAATATATGTATTAAAAATAACAATGCAAATGTATGATCAACTATTGTAATAAATACTTTTTGTCGGTCTGTCTGTCTGTTTCATTGCACTTAGTACTATCCTGAGTGTAAACTCAACTTTTTGTTGGGTTTCATTTTGTTCAAATGAGCAATTGCTTCTGTCAGGACTCTCGTTCGCAACCATGCCTCGAGATCCGTTGGAGTAGAATTTGATTGGGTCTTTTTGGGACTTTTTTTGCAGTCGACTAGCGATCGCGACAGATTTTAAAGTCTTCGTCGATCTCAGAGTTGGATTGATTTTTGACATAAAATATTGAAGAAAAAATGTTGGTTTATTTTAAAAGTTTGAACCGACTTTATACAAGTTTTTACTAATTAAGATATAAGTTATATATTTTTTACAACTCATAACGCACGCTGTGCAGTACTGCCTGTAAAATTAATAATTAAATTCCTTTTATTGCTTCTACAAATTTTTCAAACCGGGAAACGGTATGGCAACGAAAATGGTAAAATAATTTTACTGAAAATTTTGTTAGCCACGGTTACCATGGCAGCGGGCGCCCGTTTCACACAAAAAATACAAAATAGTTGTGTGCTAAATAATAGTCTAGTATTGTCTACAATTTTTTTCAATATCATAAATGTTTTCATCTTAATTTTTATTACATTTACTTTTTGATATTTAAAGCATAGAGAGTATATTTCTAGAAAGATGAGACATTATTTATCGTGGCGCGTCTTTTCAAATTAATATGGTTCTCTATGTTTCTACTCTCTCTACCGCTACAAACAAACTCTATGCTTCAAATGTCAATTAATAAAAGTAAATTGAGTCAAATTAATTGATCATATTGAAAGTAATTATTGATAAAATTATTTAGCACACAACTATTTTGTAATTTTTTTGTGAGTATAAGCAGTGAAAATATTCAAAAATGCCGGAGGAAACAATTATGTCTATGAATGATCGGGCAGTTAAAATTGAACCATCAGAATTTTCACCAGAAGACATTAAACTCGAAATAGAGAATGATTTTGATGATCCCGACGTTATTGTTAAATCTGAATCGTTTTCCGAAGATGATGATACGTGTTTGGAAAGATTTATGAATTCCGAGGTGACAATTGAAGAAGAAGTCAAAAAGGAGTTAGTCGAAACATCAACTTATGCAGAATCACAAAATTTAAAAGAGCATATGATCGATCATATGCCTAATCATAGCAAAGAAAGTTCTTTCAAATGTGAAATCTGTCATAAGACTTTCAGTCAATTAGGTAATCTAAAAAGTCATTTACTGATACATAGTGGAGTATGCCCCCATAAATGCAGTGTGTGCAATAAGACAATCACACAATTAGGTAATCTGAAAAATCACATGCTAATACATAGTGGTAAGCGCCCTCATCGATGCAATATATGCGAAATGACTTTCACGCAACCAAGTGGTCTGAAAAGTCACATGCTGAAGCACAATGGAGTACGAGCTTATGAATGCAATATATGCAAAAAGACATTTTCACATTCATTTAATCTGAAAAGTCACATGCTGATGCACAGTGGGGTACGTCCCTATGAATGCGATATATGCAAAAAAACATTCACGCAATCAGGTAGTTTAAAAAATCACATGCTGAAGCATAGTGGAGTACGTCCCCATGAATGCAATATTGAATGCATGAATTATTGCTCCCAATTACATATCCTAAAATTGTGATTTTAGGAATGGAAAAAGACGTTTCGAAGCAAACGATATGTCAATGAAAATAATAAACGTCTAAACCAAGGGCGAGCAACCTTTTTCATCCACGGGCCAATTTCAATTTTAAAATTTCATGGCGGGCTGCACGGGTTTAATATATATACTAGCTGACCCGGCGAACGTTTTGCCTCAGGAAATATTTTTAGAAAATCATTAGTATAAAAAATGACTAATTCTGAATGTACAAATATGCAGTATATAAATGAAAGGGGCAGCTAACACAAAAACACATTGATAATTTACCAAATGCAATGCTAAAATACTAACATCCATATTTGTATTATGATATGCTATGCTCAGCAAAACGAGTGAGATTTCAATAATTTAAAAAAAAATCTAACTTTTTTTAAAAACAGTTTTATCTTCAGATTTTAATATTGAATTTCTAAATTTTTTTTTGCTAAACTTGCTTCTTCTGCAAGACATTCAAAATTTATGTACTTCTTGTACACATCGTGAAATATTTGTACAATAGGATAACAGTTAACAGAAAATCAGTTAGTTTTATCGGAGGTAACCATATCGTTGCCAATATCTATGAAGCTTTTCTATAAGCTCAGAAAAATCTTGATCGAATTTCAATTAAAAACGTTCACAAAAAAGACGATCATTGTTAATTGATCGATTATCGAGCTAAAATGACTATTATGAAATAAGAGAGTGAAATTTGGAGTTGTATATAGTTTTCCATTTTAGTACTAATTTTGTTACAATTTTGTTGGCTTCTGTATCAAGATTTCTAATTTTTACGGTTCAAACAAATTTCAAAATGTTCTGAAATTTTTTTTTGTTTACAATTTTCAAAAATATACAAAGGTTTATACTTATAATATAAACTTTCAATTTACAATTCAGTTTAAATTGTATATATTTGATATGCGATATTTACTCGTAAGAAATATATCCTCGGCTGGATTTATTTAGCACTACTTAATGTAAACTTTTTAAGTGTTTTGTGCACGATACCATGCACCACTAGAAATTGAGTATTGCGCCCTTGAGAGCAACAGGTTGCCGACCCCTGGCATAGATAGTTGTCAAAGTAGTAGGAGGGTCATCTTACATATAAATCGGAAAAGTTTTTTTTTTTGCTGGTTGTGATTTGCAAACTATTCTGACGTTAAGACAGATTGCAGTGGAGTTCTTCAGAGTGCAAATTCGCAACTATTGATTAAAAATCGGTACAGTGGTTCTGTTTGTCAGTATTAGTTTAAACAGTGAGCTCTCAAAGAACTTAAAAAATGGCATCCGATAAAGGAGAAAATGGTAATTTATTATATTTTATTTCTATATATATATATATATATATATATATATATATATATACGAGGTGTGTTCAAAAAGTACCCGGAATTACTAATAATTAAATTTCGCGGGTCTGGAGTGTCTGATTGTCAAAATTTTTTTTTTATTGTGTTGGTATACATGCCCCTAAAGTATGATGAAATTTTCAGCTATATTCACTGTTTACTTTGTCTGTGGTAGTCGCTAAGGTTCGACGTGTTTTTCTGAGCTCGGCGATTTTTACAATGGAAGAATTGAAAAGTCAAAGAATTTGTATTAAATTTTGCGTAAAAAATGAAATAAAGTGTTGCAAAGTGCAAAAATTCACCAGATATGGCTCCGTGTGACTTTTTCCTATTCCCAAAGTTGAAGAGACCCATGAAAGGACGGCGGTTTTCCTCGATTGAAGAAATAAAGGCCGAATCGCTGAGAGTGCTCAAGGACATATCAAAAAGTGAATATCAAGGGTGCTTCGAAAATTGGAAAAAACGCTGGCATAAGTGTATTATATCTGGGGGGGACTACTTTGAAGGGGACCACATTAATGTAGACGAATAAATAAATATTTTTTTGAAAAAACGAAAATTCCGGGTACTTTTTGTATTTTCGTATATATGATTTAGTAGTTAATATATATATATATAATTAATATATATATATATATATATATATATATATATATATACTAGCATACCCAGCCTTGCGTTGCAACGGCCCTTATTAAAATTCATCTGATTGAAATTTGAATCCGTTTGACAACCAAATTTCAAACCTTTTGTTATAAAAAATTCATGTCAATTCAAAAATAAATAAAATCCGGATTGAAGTTTAAATATGATGGATCAATAATATTGATTAAAGTTTTTTTAAAACTTAAATAATAAATAAACTGAAATAATTAAACATTTGAATAAATGAGTACATTACAAAATGTATAATGAATTACCAAGCGATTTTTATAAATTTGTTATATCTTATTTGGTATTACGTCCTATTTACCTTTAGCTAACATTTTAACATGTTCTACAATGCTTTATTTAGGAATGGTTTCACACACTATTGGAAACTTGCTATAAGCCCTAATGATTAAAGTTAAATTTAATATGTCGCTTTTTCATTCTGATCTATTATGTTTTGAGGACGTGTTAGTATCCGAACTAATATGTTAAGCAAACCAATTAAATATAAATTATAAATTTATTCATCTAATACTTTCCATAGATATTGATAAATGCCATTTAACTTTTTTTTAGTTTACAGCTATCAAAATTTATTTAAATCTATAAACATTATATATTTCTATTATTTTCAATATAGCATTTTGCCTAATTTGGATATAACTGTTGGATATATTATAATATATCTGTTCTTTTTCAATTAGTAAAAATAATATATTTTTAGAATTGTCATTTTTTTTTTTCAAAAATCATAAATCGTTTTTTCTCGAAGTTTCCATAAATATTGACATTTGTCATTTTAGTGTTTTGTCTTTTTTTTGTAAATTTCTGTCAAAATTAATGGAAATTTATAAAAAATATAAAACTAATTAAATATTTCCTTCTTGGTCGAAATTTAATATAATATGATATAATATATGTTTCAATAATGTTTTGTATCTACAATATTGCCTATAACAAAACTCGGAATAATTAATGTATTTGTTTCTTATTGAAGTCGTTAAAAATTCAATTTTTCTGAACTGTCAAAATTTTATTTATTATTATTATTAAATTTAATATGTCGTTTTTTTTGTGATCTATAATGTTTTGAAGAAGTTTTGGTATCCGAACTAATTTCGTAAGCAAATCAAATAAATATAAATTATAAATCTATTTATCTAATAATTTTTATAAAAATTGACAAATGTCATTTCACATTTTTTTATGTCAACTTTTATTTAAAATTATAAACATTGATTTTTAATTAGATTTAAAACTATAAACAGTGATTTTGAATATAGCATTGCATCTAATTTGGATATAAATGTTGGATATATCTATAATATGTATGTTTTTGAATTATATTTTTTGAACTGTCAATTTTTTTTCCAAAAACGTTAATCTTTTTTTCTCGAATTTTCCATAAATTTTGACATTTATTTTAGTGTTCTGTTTTTTTTTTGGTCATTTTATGTCAAAATTTTTTGAAATTTATAAAAATTATGTATTTATATTTTAAATTTACTTTTCAAAATTTCCTATAACCTAAGTTGGATCTATATACACACGATGAGCCAATAAAATTTAAAATCGGTCCAGTAGTTTGGGCGTCCACCGCGAACCAACATCGTGACACGAGATTTATATATATATACATATATATATATATATATATATATATATATATATATATATATATATATATGACTTAGTAGTCATTTTTGATGTTGAGATATATGAGTAAGTTTTTATAGGGCGATACATAAAAGAATAAAAAAACAAAGATTTATAATTATAAAATTTGTGGATTGCTATAGAAATTATAAATATAAGAGAAAAATTAACAGAACACTTGACAACAAAAAGATAATAAAAGATAGTAAAGGTAATAAAGATAGAAACTCTTATTAAATCTCTCTCTAGTTTTTTATTTAATTTATTTAATTTAATAACTAGTTTCTATCTTTGTGCCCTTTACTATATTTAATTGTATTTTTGCTGTTATGTGTTGCTATTGTGTTATTTTTTTCTTATATTTATAGTTTCTATACCAATCCACAAATATTATAATTGCTTGGTTATATCAATTCTTTCACTGTTTTTAGATCCACTGATAATGACATTGAATTGAATACCGAAACGTTTGAAATGAAATATATATATATATATATATTTAATTTCAATAATTATTACAACTGTTAAATTATTAACATCAAGTAATATTGATAAATAATAACAAATTTAAATAAATAAAAGTGCAAAGGATAAAATTTACATGAAAATAATATCCGTAATATGATTTGATATAAAATATAAGCAAATAATAATAAAAAGAAAATTAATAAATAATATAAATAAAATTTCAGAATAATAAAATAATACTAGAAAAATAATAAAATATAACAAAATAACAATAATATAAATAGTAAGATAATAATAATAATAATAATAATAATAATGTTAGCGTTTACAAATTTATGAGATCGTTGGAAATTTTTCGTTTTAGCCTTGTTGGGCGCGCTAAATAGCAGTGTTAAATAATAGAGCATAAAAACATGAATTTCTTTAAAAATTTATTTTAAATCCATACGTTCTAGCTATAGTTTATTTCGTACGTCTCTTTTTAACACTGGAATAAGAAATTTTTTTATAATGGTCGTACATTTTGGTTTTCAAAATTATATTTTTCTTTTCCACTGAATAAAGCTGAAACGTAAGAAATAATAATGAATTAAAAAAACAATAGATTTTTATTCGTGTAATGCTCATTTTTTACCGGGTGCGCATATAGTGTGTTAATACAAATACATTACAGATATGATTTTATTCGAAATTTATAATCAATACGATTTCTTGGAAATCGTATTGATTATAGTTTTAGTAATAGCGAAATGATAGTTTAATTTCGAAATAAACAGTCTATTATTTCAACAGAGTTCATGCATTATGCATATGATGACATACGACAAATTGCTGCTTACACTTACATTTTCCTTGTTTTGATATGCATTA